TGAGCTTTGGTCAGGCGTCGAAGTATTATTGAAGCTAATATTTTAGACACTATATTAGTCAAACTGATTCCTCTGTGATTGTCACAAGAGGACTTTTGTCCTTTCTTATAGACTGACAGAATCAGTGATTGAGACCAGTCAGATGGGATTACGTCCAGTTCCCAAATTCTACCTAAGACCTCAGTTAATCTCACTGCTAATACTGGACCACCATCCTTAAAAATCTCAGGAGTAAACTTGTCAGAACCTGCTGCTCTTCGTTATGTTCAGAGACAGATGGAATGAGTTTTCGAGCATCTATCAGTGCGGTAGATGCTGCTGAGATCCAGTGTTGCTCCCTAACCTTGTGGTTTACCGTACTTGCAGATATCACTGCTGTTTCCACAGCTTTTCGGATATCATTCCATGCTGCATCGGGGTGGGCATCACATACATGTCTGCCTAACTGTTTTCCTAGTTGTTCCTGAAATATACTCTTAGCTTGACTATCATTAAGTAGGCCCCTAAGAGGTTTCCTTGCAGTGTCTTTCCTATGTCCAGTAAGACGCAGGCAAATACGCGCTCGTACTACAGCATGATCTGAATCTAAGCATGTTCTCCAGAATGAGCGACAGTCTTCTATCGAGCCCCTCCATCGGTAGCTGATAGCGATGTGATCTATTTGGGTCCAACGTTGGGACGAATTAGGGGGTCGCCATGTTAAAAGATGTTTTTCCTTATGCTTAAAGTTAGTATTTGCAGCGAACAGGCAGTTATCTGAGCATAACTGCAACAGACGGTCGCCATTATCCGTTCTTTGAGCCACAACACCATAAGATCCACCTAGGTGTCTTTCCCTATCGCTTAGTTCACCTACTTGAGCATTAAAGTCACCAGTCACTATTACTACATCAGAGCGCCTAGCTTTTCGGAGAAGGTCGGAAAGCTTTCTGTAAAACTCATCTTTTACATCATCTGAGCTGCAGTCAGTGGGAGAATAGGCAGAGACGACGAAGAGGCAACGACGAGTGTTCCTATCCTCCCGAGTCCTTGCTGTTCCGTTCAGTCGGACAGCGCACAAACGACTGTCTACTGGGATCCACTCTAAGAGAGCTAGTTCTGCCCTAGGACTCAATGCTATACCTACGCCGGCGAGGCCACGGGAAGCACCATCAGGGCTTCCAGATACACGAAGCGTAAATCGAGTTGATTCTTTATTATGACATGATGAGGTCAAATGAATGACGCTACTCGGATCCTGTATGCGCGTTTCGGAGATGCAGCACACATCGATGGCGCGAGATTATAAAGTCCTAGCTAAGGAAGCCAGTTGTCCTGTTCGACACAGTGTTCGGACATTAAAATCTCCTACGTGTAGTTTGGAGCGTGTTAGCGGGACATAGACTAGACTAAAGCATGCTCAATGCATGATTGCTTTGGTGCACGCTGATTGGCTAATTCTTATCCAATCAGCGCTAGTCGATAGTTGGAGAATATTCTGGATTCTTCTTATGTAAAAACTATAAATATACCGACGTTTTTCCCTATTGTGCTTCCTACTGGCTTCTGTTCAACCGTGTTCTGATTTGGGGACTTGTCGAGTGATTCGGTGTCCGAGAATACTAAGCAATAGGAATAGCTGGGTCAAGAACCGTAAGAAAATAGAATTATAACAGTGGCGACGGGGAAAAACTAAAGAAAAATGGCGATTTCTTTAAAACAGTTGCGGTTAATATTACAGCACCAGCAGAAGTTGTTAGCCTTGCAACAACAACTATTCAACACACTTTTCACTCGACCAGAAATAAGAAATTGTTTATGATGCAGTAACAGACATTTCAGAAGCGTATCTAGTGGAGGGTTCAAATCCCTTTATACCTGAATCAGAACGTAATATTTGTAACGTGTCCGGCTCACAGCAAGAAAATACTGTGCTGAATGCACATGAGGTTGTGACAATACCAGATGATCAGGAGCCAGGTCCTGTAGATGAAGCCCGGAGTCCAGAATCAAATGAAACACTACTGGTACTGTCTAGCTGCGAAAATAAACGTCAGCTCGAACAAAATTGTGGTCCACGTGCTATTAGTCGAGAAAGCTATGGTGACTCGTATTCAAAAAATAACTGGAGCAACACGATGAACCAAATAGTACCAGATGTTACTCAAAATCACCGGAAGACAGAATTTTATATTGAGTCAACTTATCCCATTTCTAATGACAGTGTACCAGATATTGATTCTCAGAATAATGCATATGATTTTGATGAACCTTCTTATAACAATGAGGGAAATATGTCAGTTGAGTCGAATGATGGCCAAAATCTAATCTAATTCTGTTAGACGTTGACTTTCTTAATGACTCGTTATCTGCTAACGAGATTCATAATGAATTTGAAAATAATGAACTCAGATCAAAGGTTGTTCATCATCATCTAGTCATTTTTAGTGGATTCTCCAGTCAATACGAGAAACATGTTTTAAATAAAGTCCTACTAGTTGTAATTTGGAGCCATAAGGACCCAACATTATTTCGAGGAGGAGGAGAATGTTGGAGAATTAAAAGTTATGCATACTTTTTTTTAAGAAAAATCAAAACGCCGGGAACAGACATGTCAGTCTCTGTGCAAGGAAAAAGTGATAATTCTTCATTGCCTAGACGATAGACTAATCGAAAGCACAAGCTATTCACTCAGTTGCAGTTGGACCCTAGCACCAGATCCTACGAATCTGCTCAGAGGGGAGGTGTTAGCGGGACATAGACTAGACTAAAGCATGCTCAATGCATGATTGCTTTGGTGCACGCTGATTGGCTAATTCTTATCCAATCAGCGCTAGTCGATAGTTGGAGAATATTCTGGATTCTTCTTATGTAAAAACTATAAATATACCGACGTTTTTCCCTATTGTGCTTCCTACTGGCTTCTGTTCAACCGTGTTCTGATTTGGGGACTTGTCGAGTGATTCGGTGTCCGAGAATACTAAGCAATAGGAATAGCTGGGTCAAGAACCGTAAGAAAACAGAGTTATAACAGAGCGTAACTTCAGGAGACCAGGAATAGCGTTCCGCTTACTCCGATCGTTTGCCCTAGCGGTGCGAGGTGATAAAGAGACGTGAGCAGGGTTAGCCATGGAGATAAGAGAGGTATTAGGAGGTGTAGGAAGGATTTGAATGTGACCAACTTGGTCTCGTGTGCTGTTACGGGTATGAGGGCTGATATCTCTTCCCGGCTGCCCACACCGTGGAAGGGTATTTCTTGAGGGACCTGAAAAGGAAATTGGATTAGTATTGGTCTTAACGACCTGGGAGCGTGACCTCAGAGCCTAAGGGACAATTGCTTGAGGCCGGTCGCGCACGGATTCTTCGTAGAATGTTTTTATTGCGGTAACTCCGTTCTTGAAAGGGCCTTACCGCCGGAGACGGAAATCCGTGTGATTTGACATTTTTAGGGTCGACCTTTTCTAACCCCACCCCTCCTTGTGGGAAGGCAGCATCGCTGTCATGCTGGTTGTCCGAGGGAAACACCTTACTGCTATCACACCTCTCTACAGTCAGCAGTACGACTTCGCCCTCAGACCTTGAGTTGGTGCTTTTAGTCTTACCGTTCTCCAATCGACCTGCCTGGCATGGTGGAGCCTGTAGGAACATATGTTCCAGCCAATATAGCTCGGTTGGGTCATCATGATAAGCAAGCTCGACCACCGCGTCAAGGTAGCAGCTTCGGTCGGGGCAATTATATGTAAATATAAAGCTAATTCATTAAACCAATTGCCCTACTACTTAGTGTATGTATTCAAATGACAACTATACTTTAAAACGGATAGAGCATTTTTGTAAATATTTCTACTATTTAACACATATCTAGGGTTGTTTATCGAATACCTCTAAGCACATATAATTCATCTATGTCTGGATTATCGATTGATCAACTCATGAATGAAATACTATTTATTGAAGGTCAAAGTTTTATTCCAAACTACTACTACTACTACTACTACAGAAATTAATCTTTTATAAATGGACAAGTATTGTGTACACATATGTTCCTGGTCCTACGTTGTAACTGACTGACTGACTGACTGATTGTGTGTATTTATCATAAGACTTACAGAAATTCACTTGTACAAAAAATAAATTTTTGAGAAAAATATCAGAGTATACGATTAAGAGACTATTTCACACTATTGTTATAAACAATAATACTGATAATAGTATGGTCGCAAAATATAAAAGTACCCAAAAATTGATCGTTTTGAGATGGTGGAGATTTGTAGCGCAGGTGGATGATTCTGATGGGGTTTTGTTCTCTGAGCTGAATGGTTTGGTAGTGAAGTTTTCATTGTTCTTCTGAAAGACATCATCAGCACAAACTTCAGGTAGAAGTGTTCGGATTTCTCCACATGTGGTTCACACCTTGTCGTGTACACTTCGATGTTGATTGGTTCTTGCTGACGTTAAATACGAACACTTCATTTCTACCTGAATTTTTTTTGCTGATGATGTCGTTCAGAAGAACGATGAAAGCTCCACGACCAAACCATCCAGCTCAGAGAACAAAACTCCACCAAAATATTCCTCCTTGTCTCTTCTTTTTCTCTTTCCAAATTTATTTCACTGTATTATACTCTTTAAATAACATCTTCAAACCCTAATTTTCCCGATTACTGCTTATACTCTTATTACCTCTACCACTACGGGATTTGAATCGGCCACTGCATCTGTGTGCTAATGTGGTGTGGCAACTCGAACTGAGGTATGTACGTACGAAGTTCTACATTGTTATTGACTGACTACATGAACGTAAACCGGTTCAAAATGGAAGACATTGATGCGGTTTCCGATTCAAAGTGTGTATACATCCACCGCTTTTTAGATACATCTAGTAAATGGGAGACAATCAGCACAAATTCTGAGCGGATGGAAGAGGTCTTAATATCCACATTTAAGGATAAAATACCAAAAACTCCCCTATGCTGTATCAACCAACAACTAACAATTAAAACCATCTCGAAAATACTTACTCTTTCAATGTCGTTTTTCGAATTTTGAACAATAATAATATGAGATATGCAATTTGCCATTAATTCTTCTTCATTTTTGGCATTATCGAAACCTCCAACATACAAACCAGGTAATATTTTTGTCATACTACCACCCATTTTCTTTCTGCAATGAAAAAGCTAATAGTTAAATAAATTGAATGTTCAGTCATAAGCAATTTGAAACCTAGGTAAACAATTGGATTATCTCAAGTTGCCACAATATTAACAGAGAGATTAGAGAGATTCATTTAACAAAGAAGAGTAGAAGTAATGGTATGGAGATGAGTATAAATCATTTACGAAGTACAGATTAGCGTATTCGAGACTTTGAGCTAGTGATACTATTAGGTTACCCACATCGAACTAAGTGGAGTGAGACTTTAGCCTTTGACCTAGCGGTTGGATGACGAACGTCTTAACCACTAAGATTCTTAAAAAATTAGTACATTTCGAGCATGTGATTTTATTGAAGTGTATCTAAATCAATAAAGCGTGAAATACCACTTGAAGGTTTTAAGTAATTGACCCACTCTCGTAACTAAGAAAAAGAAAGCAATTATATAAGCTCCGTTTACATAAAATGATGTCTAGTGCACTGCACGCTGATGACCAACAAGTATGACAACTGACGTTCTGTTGTATATGGTCTGACTGATGACCCAAAACATGATATTAATGTGACTTATTGTCAACAATATTTGATAACAAATTTAAAATATAATAAGATATTCAGTAAATACGGTGCGGTAAATATGAGATGTATTTGAAATAGTAACTGACTTTGAGCTACATCAATAGTTTCCGATTACTTGGATTCACAATAGCTATTCGCATAGACACGTTATATTCTCTTGCAGTCTAATGAAGTCACTTCATCTTCATTTCGAACGGTACATGATACTGAGAATACGTAATGCGATCGTCAGCTAAGTCGATAGTAGTATAGCATCACAAACAGACAAACTGATATAAACTTACCTATTACTCCACAATTAACACTTAGACTAATTGCTTAATCGTTTTATCACATTTGGATATCACTTTGAAAATGATAATAACCAACGCATTTCGTTCATATTGTGATTGTATTTCTCATCAACCTAGACAGTTAACCACTGTTAAGCATGTTTGTCCCGCAATAAGTCACTGAATATTCTGATCAAGAAAAAAGTGGGAATCAGGAAACAGATCTAACAGTTCCTGCTTCGGTCTGGGCACCCGAGTAGTACCACAGCCCACACACAGGTCAAGTGACCTGTATGGCTCATATGTATTCGGTGCCCCTTTGTACCAATATTTGTGTTCAAATAAATAATATAATATAAAAACAGTCCCGTCGGTAGTTCATTCGCCAAAAATCCCCTGGGTTTATTTAAATTTCCCTAGTTTGGTGATGACAACCCTACAAAACACTTCAATGAAAATTTTCTGTTAGCTTTAAGGTAACTGATTCTCTTAAAAAGCATTTCCATTGGGGCGATGGACTGGTTAGGCACCTGCCGCACTGAGAATGACAATTCGAACCCTATATTTTGATTGAAGAACACGACTGACAGTTTCTTGCTTACCATTTGGTATTTAACAGGAAATGATTGTTTTATTTACCATAAAATTCAGAAACAGTTCCATTCTTCAGTTTTTAGCTTCGGTTTTATGCAGCATGAGTACGTAATCCGTAAGCTATTGTTCAGCTTAACTCTGTTATTACCACAGAAGATAAGGAGCGACTGATCTCATGAAAACAAAACAGTAAGTGCTTTAGGCTTATATGCAACTCGCAGACTCGCTATCAATCATAAAACCCGAAATTTTAGTAACAATTTTCTTACAAGAAACCGTATGATATTGTGAACACCAGGTTATGTTAGTAATCCAAATTCCCGAAAGAAGTAACCATGAGTTATCTTACGTTAAGTATTAACCTAAATTGTACTGTCTATTGACTTTATTTCCAGGATAGTACAATAAAATGACGAAGATGCTTACTTATTTACACCTGCTGCTTTCCCTGATTTTAGTCCGAGTAGAATGGGAGCAGGGTATAAAGAATAATAAGCGGTTTAACAAACTGACAATAGCTTAATGAAGACATTGTCGAATAACTCATTAGAAATGGAAATCGTGATTGATGCTTACGAAGTAACTAAAACCATGAACGGAACCTGGAAGTAGTGTGAGTGGAGGTCACAATACCACCTATACTGTAAATCTTCGATTTGAACATACCCCTATACTCTCCTATAAAAGTAATAACTTTTCTGTCCCTTTAGAAATTCGTTAGTGTTCAATTTTCTATCGCCACTAACACCAGTACACATGGATTCCTACGAGTTAAGAAGCTGACGATACCACACAAATAATTATGCAAATGCGACATGGTCAAACAACCTGCTAAACTTCCTGCAACTGAGAAACGCAACGCTCAAAGTATCGCATTTCAATATTCAATTCAACCCCAAATGTAACTACTACGATTTTCATATGCTTGTATTTCTCAAGTGCAATTCTCCTGATAATTGCGTTAACAGTTTTTCATGGAAACAAAGTGAAAATTTCACAGGAAAACTAATAATTTGAATAGTTCAGATTGCCCTGGACGGAATAAAAGAAGCTTTCTCATAACGGGCTTCCGTGTCTAGTAGCAGTGTATCGCCGATGCCTCCGGGTAGGAACCTAGGTATATTAGCGATAAAGGAAGAAAAAGAAAAATATGTCCCTAAGTCACATTAAGGTTCTAGCCTTAGTCCTTAAGAAGAATCCATTTTCTCCTGGGAAGTCGTTTGAACTAGCTTGGCCGGCAGCAAATTCCAGCATTTGACAACCCTTAAGGAGAAGAGGTTGTGTCTAAGGTCCATTCTTCTGTGTTGTATCCCAAGTTTCTGGGTGTTACCTATTAGTTTTGTGTTGGAGCCGAACCTAAGTAGGTGTTTAAGCGGGATTTTAGGAAGTGTTAAGGATACTGTAAGCCATTAAATCACCTCTAAGATGCCTATTCTTTAACGAGTGAAGGTTTAGTGATTGGAGGCGCTCTTCATAAGGCTTGAATTTGAGTCTCCGAACTGACTCTATGGCTCACCTTTGGATACGCTCCAGAGTGTCCTTATCCTTTAAGAGTGAGGAAGGAAATACTGTGTTTCCGTACTCTAAATAGGAACGAACGAAACTTTTGAAGATCATGTGGAAAGTTTTTCCGTCTAATTGGCCGAAAATGCGTTTCAATGTTACCAGTGGAAGACTTGCTCGAATGGCATTTTTGTCACAGTTAGCATAACTTCAAATCGTAGGGTACGAGCACTCCTAAATCTTTTTCAACTTGGGATACTTCTAGAGGGGAGTCGCCTAAGTTGTAACTGTAATCTGCAACATGACGCAGATGGACTACTTTAAACTTCGAAGTGTTAAAGCTCAGTTCGTTGTAATCTGCCCAACTTTAAAAATCGAGTTAGATCCTCCTGAAGTGCCAGTATATGCTCTTGGTTGCATATCTCTCTTCAGAGTTTCACATCATCGGCAAAAAGCATTAAGTCAGACGACACCTGTTGTGGAGGATCGTTTATATAGATCATGAAATGAAGGGGCCCTAGTACTGAGCTCTTGGGGACCCCACTGGGACATTCCATAGCCTGAGAGAAGTCAAGGTACATGACGTCCCCTTTCGATCAAGGATGGTTGTCTGTCTGTCTATTCAGTCAGCATGTAACCTTTTCTGAACCTGTGCTGTTGTGTTGAAAAAAATTTTATGGATAGTAAGTATTCATGTAAACCGTTGAATATCAGGGACTCCATAATTTTTGAAGGTATAGAGAGAATATCCACAGGTTGGTAGCCCGAAGGTTCGCTAAGTCGACCTTTTTTGAAAAGAGGTCTGATGTGAGCCAGCTCCCGAATTTCCGATAATTTGTCCAAGGTTAGTGAATGTGAGAACAGCACGTTAAGCAGTGTTGCCAAAATTGAAACTACTTCCCTGAGTATAGCAGAATCAACCATATGCGGGCCAATAGAAGTGTCCTTGTTTAGGTACTGCAGTTTCCAGTACAACAAGTCAGCGCTCAGGTTCACTTCTTAATGTCCTGTGGAGAGGCGGTTGAAGCCTTTATCAACAGAGTTAGTGTGGGTCGGTCCAAATGTCCGAGAGTATTGCTTAGCCAGTAGAGGCGTCACCGTCGTTATTAGTCGAACCATTAGGACCTTGTAGTTGGGAAACTTCAGTTTTGACTTGTAGAAGAGAGGCTGCATAACGGATTAAATTCTTCGGATTGTTTACAAATTCATTGATAGACCTTAGCTGATACTGAAGCCTGTCTTCTTTTATTGCTTCTGTGCATATGTTCCTTACTTGTTTTGAATTGTCCGAATGCACTGTTGTTACTAGTTCGTTTGTATCCCATCCAGTAGTGTCTTTTACGTCATAACAAACGAATAGTGCGATGCGATTCTGAGGGAATCCAAACTCACTTGTCTAGGGTCATCCTCCGGCACAGAAAATAGTGACAGCATTTCGCGAAGTTAGTCTGACCACTAGGTCGGAGTAGTACTAGTGGTATTGCTTGATTATCAAAAATGACGTTTTGCAATAATGTGAACTACTGTTCCTAAGACCAGTATAAACAGATTGCTTTCGTCGCTGTTGCTACTTGTCGTTCCGGTGAAGTTCCAAGTCTCTGATAAGGTCATATGTGTGGCACTTGAACCATTAAACTGCACTAGTAATAGTCAGTTTGATAGTTACTTATGGATTTTCGTTTCATGTAACCTGAGTAAGTTTGTCTCAGGGCATTAGGGTTTATGGAACCAACAGCCAACACCCTTCATGTAGATGATGTTTCTTGAACAAGTTACAGAATGTTTAGCAGACAGTCCTTTGATTAGTCATATAAAAAGAGCCATAAGAAAATAAATAACAGGGAGACGTGGTTTTGAGAAAAAGATTAAAATAAATTATGTGTTAGACCAATATATTATGCAACAAAACGAAGCAAGATGTTGAGAAAGTCCAAGTAAATACAACTTTGCTCTTAGAGAGCAGAAATTTGGCATGAACTGGCCCGTTGCACCAATGATAGAACGAATATCGCAATATATGTATACAAAACTCAGGCTTTCTCTTAAAGAACATTTCTGATACGGCTCTGGTCACGCTGACGAAAGTGCTCAAATTTTCATAAGTACCTTAAGTTAGGACAGATTTATACGTAGCACCTCTGCAGACAGTGTATACCAACTCAATCAAAAAGGAAGTCAAAAATGAAGGGTACCGAAGGTATATTGGGAAAGCTATGAATACGTGCTTGGCTAGCAGTTGCAAGGGATATGTATCACTGCGTACTCACCGGTGATCTGGAGTGTATGCGTGACCGAGCACCTTCAGCTAGAGTGTATTCATCAAAACTGCTGGAGTTCGCATCAATGTAGAAGACATACAGAACTATTTATTTTGAGGATGTGTTTGTCGCTACGAGATAGTAGCTGCCTGAAACACTAGCGAATTCTCTCTAAAATTAGTCACTGGTAAATATAATGAAATAGGACAATCACATAGTTAATTCAAAAATCTGGTAAAAGGTAACATCTGGAAGACAAGCGCAAAGAAAATTTGTCATATAACATGGACTGCTTGTTACCTTCCCATCTTGTTTGGGCCTAACCTTGTAAATTGGCTTTGCTTTTCCTTCGTTACCATCTGGCTAATCGGCGGAATGTTATCATCTAGGATAATTTTCGAAGTGAGTGCGGATAAAGGAACAATAGAAATGCTCCAGCCGGCTTTTCATCACGCAGATACGGTGAAATTTTAGTGACCATATGAAAGTGTCTTGCTAATTAGTTTTGTCTGGATTGTCTTCATACAAATTTAGACTGTTGCTGATCCAATGTAACACAAATTCTGCGGTGGTTAGGCCATGGATAACTGTGTACTTCCGGTTGAATAAATCCATCATATTGTTGTAAACGAACAGTCAACTGGAGGTGACTAATCTATTTTTAAACCCAGGATACAGAGTTCTTTGTTAAAATGTAAAAACTACACATTAAAATCTTCATTGAAAAATTTTTCATCAAAATGTTTTAAATTTTGTTGTTTCTTCATTGTCTTTACATTCACACTTTGTTTACACATCCGTTTCCTTCAATTCAACCTTCAAAACCTCCTGCTGCCAGGCACTCTACTTCTAAATGGTGCTACATACTACTAATGTCGACAGACATAAGTAACGTATACCACAACATGTATGTATATTAAAAGATGTTCAAGCAGATAGCAGAAAATTGAGCAGTTTGTCAATTATCGTTAAGATCAGGGACAATCACCACATATCAATGGATTGCACGCTATAATAAGGCGCACACGTCATTGGCTCCTCCTTCCATACCTGCCAACTGTTAATACTAATATTTGTTGTTGACTATTGAGCTCATTTATTCTAGCCAATCACCTGATCATAAAATAGCATAATCCAGGTTAAGTACCAATGGCGAAGCGTGACTCAAACGTAAACCACGTCACACCAACCCCGTCTAAATCGACCATACACATAGATTACCTACACTGGTTATCTGTAACATCATCTATATACATACTCTAGATAAATTATGTAGCAAGTTAGTTATCCTTAATGGTAATCACTACTGATACCAGTAACAAGCCACAGATAAGTTCTTGAACTAAATTCATCTATTTGAAGTGAGTAAAATCAAAATATGAGAATCCCGGAAAGGATTAGCACTATTTCAGTAGGGACGTTGTGTACCTTAGGTCCTAAAAGAATATAAAAAACTCATCTTCATTAGTATAATTGTCTGCATCCAGCGACAAAGTAATCAGCTGATTTTAAAGAATTTAATATAATCTTTGAACGAATCAAGCAGTTGGCTTTCAGAAGAAAAATCATTAGACCTAATTGTTCATCTAATTTGTTGATCATCTTCAGAAAAGCTACACAGTAATCATGTATATATGGGAAGCAATTACTTTGAGACACACTAATGGTCCTATAAATGGTTATGTTAAATGTTTGAGTTAAGAAACACGATTCTCTGTTAAAATTAGTATATTACGCTCGGGCTTGTACAACAAGTGTAACAGAGGAAAAATTCTAAGTGTAATGAAAAAACTCTTTTCAGTTTGTGAGGTAGGCAGAAAGATGGTGAGCTCAGAGAACAGTTAAAACAGCCTATTCGAAACTTCTATGTGTAAATCGCCTTCATACATGAAAACCGATTTCATTTAAGACCCAGATAAATAAAAAACAGATACACGCCTAAACTATTATGACTGTGACTAGCATTACTGGAATATGTGTGCTCAATAATGACAACACCGTTTCCGACAGAGAATAGTGGTGTGCATTTATTTGACTTCGACAACAAACGAAACTGATATCTGGATGGACTACCCATATATGGTTTGTTTACAGTTATACTAAGATTTAAATT